TCCATATGTCCAAATTGAAGCCTAGAAATTCAGGAATCCATTGCAAAAAGAATCAGTCAAAAAGGAGATCTACAGAAAAAAAAATTATAGTCAAAATAGTGGACAAATGTCAAAATAACGAAAATATGAAATATAAAGTAAAGATAACAAGTAGTCATGAAAACTCTAATTTAATACAAAAAATATAAAAACATGCTAAATGAAATAAATAAAGAAGGAAAGATATTTTTGAAGATGCAATAAGGCTATAAATGTGAGTACAAAATATGAATCATAAGTATCCATAAGGACTTCACAGCATAGATAGTTGCTGGTTAGCCACTGCACACAAATGCAACGTGTGCCAACTCGGCCCCTTTTAGCAAAAGTGTTGGTCAAGGATTTAGGTCAGAAAATGAATGTGAGGCCTGTGGTGTTGTTTCCTTCTATTTTCATTAATTATGGGCATTTCATAGAAAAGCATCTACCATCCTTATTTCTCCCAGATTTCATAATTGCCTCCCATCTTCCATACTCCAGTGTATCTCTGTGACTATTTATACTTATTCTTAATGTTTCTCATACCATTCTATTTCTCTGTATTTCTCATTTCATTTCCACATCTTTTTCATTGATCAACATGTCATAATACGTGAGTTATGATTTATATAAATTCATGTATTACAATACATGTATTGTAAGTATACCCTTTGATGTATTACAATACCTATATCATAATTACACCTATTAGTCAGTTATAACTCACGTATTATAATCACTCATCTCGTAATTTCACAATGATGTCATATTACTCACTTTTCCTCCATAATGCAAATCTACTAATTTCAACATACATTAATCATCACAGAAAAATCATCAATCAATTTCACACCACACATATCGATACAATGTGCTAAAAGTTGGACACCTTTGAACTCAGACCAAATCGTACAATTTCAATATACACACTTTCTCAGTATTAATAAAGTTGTCTATATTAAAGTTTGGCATAGTCTAATATTCACAGTATGTCTATTATTTCATAAATATCAAATAACAAATATTAACTACCTCTGAATAATGTTTTCTAGTAGAAATCATAATATTCCTAAAAAATAGTTTTGTTCAGAGCTTTTACTACAAATTATATTTAGTAGGTGTTTCATGTCAAGCTCTGTATTCCTACACTTTATATTTTAAGAAAAACATTAAGATTCTAGGGTTCTAATAGAAAAACTTTGTATTTTCAAATCAAAATACCAAAAAGGAATTTAGGTTTCAGATTAACTCTCCTTACCTAGAAATGGATCTCTCAGATCGAGGGAGAAGTACGACATTTTTTATAGAGGATATCACCTTAAGGGTTAACGTTTCCTTGAGTATCACAAAGTACAAAACTTTAGTTAGAGAACTAAGTTCCAAGAAAATTACTTGGATCTGAATGGAATAGTGATGAAAAGACTGTCGCTATCTTTGTCAAAGTATAGTTATATTAAATGTAGTATTAGGCTAAACTAACCTAGGTCATTCTCTTGTGAATAATTAGGTGAGTGACTAAATATCAAACATGTATTGTGTATTGTATTCAGAAAATAAGAGGGTGTTTGGTTGGGGTTTTAAATCCTTAATCATTCAAAATAGAAATACGAAATTACGAAAATTAATCGACAAATTAGGTTAATCCCTAGTTCATCTATAGTTTCTTCAATCATTAGCCAACCAAGAATTAAATACTAATCCTCTCACATACATGAATTAATTGGAATGAGCGTCAATTAATTCTTGGATTCTCATGCAAGATTAAGCAAATTGCATGAACTCCAACTTTGGTCCTTGAAATTAAGCAAACCTAAAACCTAATTCAGAATTAAGCAAACTAAACTACAAATCGACGAGTGCGATTATGACATATTAATTGATGTGGTATAATACATGTATCATGACATACAGATTAGTGTGAAAATGCATGCCATACATATTTACAAAGATGATTGATTGATTGTCATGTATGTGCTCCCTTGTGATAATGATTTGTATGCTCTAAGTGTTATTATCAATCCAATATATATATATATATATATATATATATATGAGATAATATTTTCAGTATTATATTTATATGTATATACATCTTTCTTCTGTCAAATAAGAGATTTAGTAAGGCGGGAGATACTCTTACCCTTACTAATATTTTTCAGGTAGTGAAAGTAAAGAGATAAAGGTGATTAATCTGTTCTAGGTCCATAATTCAATGACCTTGTGAAAGAAGACTACTCTGTAGGGTTTAAAATAATTTGAAGAATTATAATATTTTATTAGATTTTATATTTTAAATTGACAAAGTTCTGTAAATACTTTAAATGTCAATTTTTGAGTTTTAAAATATTATGACAAATTTTATTGTAATTAATAATTTTGAAGTGTCATTAATTATATCTTAGAATTACATGTATTTAATATGAACTAAATAATTTGCTAGAAGTAAATTTAATTTTATTTATTACTCTAAAGTTTCAAAATTATTTCTTTGAGAATTTTAAATATTTTGAAATCTTATAAAATTTTTATAAGAGAAATGTAAATTTTGCTTTTATTTAATTCTTAAATCTATAAAATACACTATTTTTTTTTTGTTATAAAAATTTATTTATCTTTTTTTATAAGAAATCGAGGATGTAACAAACTTGACTAATTATGAGATTTTCAATGAGTTTTGAAGTGATTATAGATAATTTAAGGCACAAAAATCAAAGGAAAGGAAAAAGTAAATAACTGAAAAAATAAATAATAGCATTTGGAGATAGCACTCGATACTTCAAAATAACGTACCATTTCATTCAACTTCAAATTTAAATCTTTTTTTTTATGATGATATTTTGTATTTTTTTCTTCATTTTTTATTTTTAATATATTTTTTAAAATAATTCCTTGTATAAAATAATTGAAAAAAAAATCCAATTTATCTAATTTAAACCGTCAAAAAGGTCACCTTTACAATCTACAAATTTATCAAAGAATTATTGACAAATATAAACAATTATAATATTTTCTTCAGTAACAAAATGTTGTTTCTCTTATATATTTTCTTTCTTTTCTTTTGGGTTGAATTATATATTTCTAAAAATGCTTATAGTTAATTTAGTGGTATTCATGAAGAATTCGAAATTTTCTATTTCAAACATTGGAATTTGAATAGCCACATTTTGAAGATTAAGAATGTACGTATCCCTGCTTCTAATCTAAACCCCACTTCTTTCAACCATGTTTGTTAAGCTATGTGACACAGTTATATAGCTTATTTCTCTTGTAGGGGCATAAAAGATATCCTTATCCCCTTTTTTTCCTACAACGGGAAAGTGCATTAGTATCTATAAGACTTCTCCATGCCATTTTAACACTTCTTCAGCTACTTTTGGTTCCGTATAGTTAGTGATTTGCATTAGTAGAAACAAGAAAAAAAATGTGAATGGTATAAAAGTCAAACACACATATGGCATATGTATATGAAAAACTTAAAGCTAGTTATAGATTGGGTTCAATCTTAAAGCAGAGTTTAAACATATATTAATAATAATTTTTATTAGAAAAAAGTATTTAATACATTAAATATATCATAAATGCTTTTGTTTCTTTTTAGAATAGTATTGTAGAGTACTTAAACTCACCTTTAAGAGCTAAATTTAGTAAAATTATTTTTTAAATTATGAGAAGAATATATTAATAATATTAAGTACTATAATTTTTTTAATGATGCTTTAAGGAACTAAGTTATATTTTCCATTAAAGATTAATAAAATCTTTTGATAGATCATGGCACAGGTAACTCCAGCCAATAGGAAATCCTTAGAAGAAATGTCAATTTGTTAGCAGGACCGGCCCAGAGGATTAGCCTTTAAACCCTTGCTTTGGGTCTCAATGTTTTTATATTTACAAATAATATTCTTTTAAAAATAAAAATAATAATTTGATTAATAATATTAGCTTATTAAGACTATATATATATATATATATATATATATATATATATATATTTTACTAAAAATAGTCCTATCATTTTACAATTTGACTATTCTAAAATGAAAAATTATAATTATATTATATACTATTATTTCTTTAAAAGAAACAAATATTGTTTTACTAAAGATAAAAGGAAATATCTAAAATTAATAATAATAAGAATACATTTGAATATAAACTACTAATTTATATAAGTACTGATTCAATGAATTTTTATCATATAAGACCTTATGACAAAAAATTGATCAAGAAACTAATTGAAACAAATTAAAAAGGTATATTTTAATAAGTTATGTTAAGAAAGTTAATAAAATAACTTAAAAAATAGAGTAAGAAACTATTTGTGTAACCCTTTCGTAAACTTCTCTCTTAAACAAATTAATTTTACTAAAGATTTAAAGAAATGTCAAACAGAGTTAAGTACATTAATAAATAAGTTTACATTAAAGAAATTTATAAGATATATTTAAATAAAATTATTATTTTTTAAAAGGTCTAACGTTAAAATTTGCTTCATGCCTACGAAAATGTTGGACCGGCCTATCTGTAAGAGTTTTTATTTATTTAAAATTTGTCACACAAATTTTAAGACACTTTCTCCGAAGTACGAGTTTGAGCATTTTGTTAAATTTTGGCAAAAACTTTAGTAGCAATTGAACGGCTTTTACTCAAATATAGTAACAGCATGTGAGTCATCTTTCCCTAGCTATTATTTTCTGACACATTTCAATTTTTTTATGCATATGTTTCCCTAATATATATTATAAAGAGAATAACTACGGCAAGTCTCCAACATAGATGAATACAATATAGTGATGAGTACAAAGAACAACGTTGAACAATTGACATGTTCTACAATCTTTGATCTCTAAACCTTATATATACGTAGGAAAGATATTCATACTTGCCATGATAATATCTGGCTTTTTGTGTTTCATTGTAACATCCTTAACACTCATAGAGACAGACAAATTAATGTTCATATGAAGTGCGTGTCTCAGTGCATGAAGGGTATGATGGCAACTACTGGCTGTGGCAACACCAACACTAAATCTCAGAATGTGAATGTGAAAGCTGTTGTCACAATTAAACAAAGTGATAATGGGTTTCTACAAAATGTTGTAAATTCAACGGTTGATGGGATCAAAGAGTTAGTCGACAAAACACTGGCTTTGGTTCTTGTCAGCCAAGAGCTTGACCCAAGTAAGTTCAATTTCTTTGGATTATTTATTTATGCACAAAATTTAGATGCAAATGTATAGACATTCTTACTATTGTTTACTAATTGAAATTAAATTTTATCTTTATAATATAATTTTTTATTAAAATAAAACTCTAATTTTAATTAGCTTACGAATAACACCTATACAACGTCGTATAAGTTTTCTATTTTTTTAAATATAGTTTCGCTTAATGTCGGTAGTATTAAATTTTGGCAATTTTTATAATTCTATATTAATAGTTTAATTATTTAGAAAAATATAAATATTCTTTAACGTCTAAAATATTTTTAATTATTAATATTTGTTAATTAATACCTTTATGATACTAGTTAAAATATTAAATGTAAAAGGAATTTTTTAAAAATAAATATAATGATGCATTCTTTTCAAAAATTTTAATACATGTTTAGTATGTATTTTTATTAAATTTAGATTATTAATTCATTACGTAACAAATAAAAAGTATTATGACCTACTATAATATAAATTGTTTTCATTAAATAAATTGGCAACAGTTGATTTTATAAATGTATGAGTATGAATGGGAAGAAAATTTTGATTATGTTTATCTATGTTTTAAAAAGTTTAAATAACATTAATTATTATCACTTACTGCTTTTTAATTAGATCTGTAGAAGTCAATTTCTTTTTATCTAACCCTTTTTTTTTTTCTATGAATGAAGAAACGAACTCAGAGAAAAAGACAACAAAATGTTCGGCTCAAATTATAGAGGAAAGAGAGGACGTCGTTTTGTATGAGGCAAAATTTGAGTTATCCACAGATTTTGGGAACGTTGGTGCTGTTCTAATTGAAAATGAGCATCTGGAGGAGGTGCTTCTAAAGAGTATACTCATTCATGGCTTCCCTGATGGGCCTGTTCAGTTCACTTGTAATTCATGGCTTCAACCCATGCATGATAGTCCTATGAATAACAGAGTCTTCTTCACAGACAAGGTCATATTAAAAAACTTTCATTTTAAACATTTTTTGTTTCATGGGAAACAGTTTTAGATTCAAAGAATTTTGATTGACAATAATATTATCGTACTGCTTATATAATATAGTGTTGATAAGTTTGTTGATTAATGGAGTAGATTTTTAGAATACTATTTAAAATTTAAAATAATTAAAAGTCAGTTTGTTAGAAACTTCAATTTTTTTAACGTTTTCCTAGGAAGAAAATGATCTTTTAGAGATCTTTTTAAGTTGGTTTTATTTAGTGCATGTTTAGGATTTAGCTTAATTTAAAGAAACAATTACCTCCTATTTGAATAAATTTTTCAAGAAATTGTCATAGGAAAGAAAATTTAATATAAAAAATAAATAATTTATTTTCATATTTTAAAAATAACTTGTATTTCTTTATTATTTTAAAAATTGTGGGATATTCTTTCATTTAACTTCTCTTAACTTTGAAGAGATAAATTATTTTTAACTTATGAAGAATTTTATTTATTTTTTATACTAATTTTTTATAAAGACTTTTACAAATTTACTTAAAGAAGACATCATTATTTTCGGAGTCCTTTGTTTAAGATTATGAAAAACAATAAAATTACATTTTAGTTTTGTTCTTTTCGTTATTTTATAGCTTACTTTTTTCTTTTTTAAAAAAATTTACATTTTACATTTTAGTTTTTTAGTTATTGAATAAGATTATGAAACAAATAAAGATAAAAATAATTTAGTTTTATAGTTTTGTGGGAAGCTATTTTGAATAAATTTAAAAAAAATAAAAATTACAACTATTTAATAATAAAAGTGCTTTTTTAAATTGTAATCAAACAAAAAATAGTTTATACTTTTTTTTTGTAAAATCTTCTTATACATTCTTAAAATTACTTTTTCCAAAAGCTGACTAAGTAATTATTCTTCTTAGAAAAAAGCTTTTCATGATCAAAGCAAGCACTTACACTAACTTAAAGTAAATACTCTTGTGGTTAATTAATATGTACATGGAACAGTCATATCTGCCATCACAAACACCAAAAGGGATACAAAGATTGAGAAAAGAGGAGCTAATTCTACTAAGAGGGAATGGAGAAGGAGAACGCAAGAGCTCTGATAGAATATATGACTATGATGTGTACAATGATCTTGGTGATCCTGATTCCAACATTGATCTCAAAAGACCTGTTCTTGGTGGCACCAAACATCATCCATATCCAAGACGGTGTCGTACTGGTCGAAAGCATTCAGATGCAGGTTGTTTAATCTCATTTTAATGTCACTTATTTTTTGTCCATAAAATCGATTTTACTCCACTAAGCAGCAATTTTTTAAATTGAACAAATTGAAATCTATTTACAAATGAAGGAAATGAAATTGGATATGTTTGTAATAGACTAAAACATTGTGTTACACCAGAATTTTTCAAGCTAACAAACAACTTTCGACAATATATGTTTGCACCCTTTTTTTAACATATTACTTAAAGTTGAATTTGGACACATTAATTTATAGTACAACTTTTTCATTTTTGCTGTGCAGACCCATTGTCTGAGACAAAGAGTTCAAGTTTTTATGTTCCACGTGATGAGGCATTTGCTCAAATAAAGCAGACACAGTTCACAACTTCTACGATATCCTTAGGGTTGAGTGCAATTTTTGAATCCTTAGATACAATTCTTACAGACCAAAATCTAGGATTTGTTAGCTTTGAAGACATAGACACACTCTACAAGGAAGGGTTCAATTTACCACCTCTTAAGGCCGATGGCTTAACATTGCTCCAAAAAGTCATTCCCAAGTTGATCAAAGTAGCCAATGATGGTCAAAATATTTTGCGCTTTGATGCCCCAGAAGCATTTAAAAGTAAGTATAAGTTGTTATATGTACCTAAATTTGATATTACTAAATATTTTTCCTATTGCATTAATTGCCTTCTTTTTAATTTTTTGTGCTTGATAAAATTTACAATTGTCCAATAAAATATTGGACAAGATTAGCTTGCTCTCTTGTCATTGCTTGAAATTGAAAAGTAACATGGATATGACTGAAAAGGCCCCACTACATATAAGGTGAAGGTCATAAAAAATTCATTATCATAATATTATTTTATTCAACAATGTGCTCGTCTCTCACTTCACTAGATTTGTCCAATATTTTGCACTCTCTTTGATGCTAAGATGCTTGGCATTGGTTAGGAATAAAGGAAAAAATACTCTTTTTAAGTTTTGAATAAACCTCTTTTTATATGTTAATTTTTTAGACTAAATTAAATTTAATGTTTTAATATAATACTAAAGTCTATTCAAATTAATCGTTGGATAACTCATCTTCAGTCTTGCAAACTTTTTGTTCCATATATACGGTCTTACACATAAGGAGGGATTTTAAAATATTTTATATTGATTAGGAATATAAACAAAATACTTATAAAATTTAAGTAAATATCTTCCATAAGTTAAGTTTTAGAATTGAGTTAAGCTTAATTTTTTTAATACTAGCAATTGTTATTAGAATTAGTGATTTGGATTAGACAGCACATAATATGTGAAAAATGGTGGAAGAAAAGACGTATATTAGCAAATGGCTTAACGTAATCACGAGTAATAATACATGCATAAATATGGTTTGGTGAGTGGAGAAGTGTGCTATAAAGGATTACATGCATGCATGGATAATGTAAAAATTAAGCATGATAGATGGTTTGATGACAAGCAGTAATAGTGGGTAAGGTATGATAGATAGGTACTCTTGCAAAAGTGGGCTTGGTGTACTCTAGATTAAAATGGGCAGAATTAGACGTCCACTATCATGTTCGCAAAAATAAGAAAAATTACAAAAAAAGTTATACATGTTTTGTTTAAATAATTAAATTAACTTAAGCAAATTTTACGTCAGACAAAGAAAACTTATAAGAGTGAGATAGGATGAGAGATACTGAAAGAGTTAGATATGGAGAAAAAATAGGTAAAAGTGGAAGGAGAGGCAGTGGAAGAATTAGGGATGGGAAGAACAGGAGGTGGGGTGGGAGGAAAGGTAGTACATGAGTTAGGTACGAAGAAAAGAGAGAGCAAATAAGTATAAGATGAGGGTGAGGGTGGGGAGAAGAATGAAGTTGGGTATGGAATAGGGAGCGGAGAAAGAGGAAGTTAGATATGGAAAGAGATGGAGGATAGTTAGATATGGAAGTTGGGAATGAAGTATTAAGCATGAAAGAGAGAGAGATCCGAAGGTTGTAGGGAGTAGACACAAAATTCACTTAAGTGAATTTTACATAATTTTTCTCATTTTTACTTAAGCGAATTCATTTTCATTTTCAGTTAAAAAAAAATAAAACTTAACATTTTATTTATGTATTAATAAGAGAGAATTAGATCCGTGTAATCTGAGAGTAGTTGTATATATGGAAGAGGAATGTTAAGGAATTATTTATGGGGGAAAAATGAGAGATTAATTTTTGTATTGCTCCTTTAGGTAGTAGTATTTTAAAAAAATAAAATAAAATTTGATCATCTATACTATATTATGAAACTTAAATTTTGAAATGTAAAAACATCTATGAAATTAAATTTTGGAACTAATTTTATGCCTTTTAAAAAATTAAATTCTGAAAATAATTTTATACCTTTTGAAAATTAAATTTTGAAAGTCATTTGATTTGATGTCAATCACTTCTAAAATTTAATTTCCAAAATTATTCAATGACTTTTAAAATTTAATTATACACTTCTAAATATTAAATTTTAAAAATTCAATAAAAATATTATAAATAATAATAGATATGGTATTAATAGCAATTTCCGAAAGAGTACTGTGAATCTAAGTGTAGGTGTAATGTGGGTATGGGTACCAACATTTATTTATTTTGGGATCAAAAGAGAAAGGCCAATTTAGAAGCCCAAGGCCTAGAGGAAACATAACATCAGCCCAACAAAAATAGGAAGTGAAAAATTAAAGATTGGACTGAGATATGGTAACTTGCCAAGGCCATCTTTAATCCTGCTTTTGTTTTTATTCTATCAAGCAAAAACAAAAACAATTATTGTCTCATATTTTGGAAATTTCAATTACTATTTTGGCCAGAAGTTGAAGAGGTTGAAATAAAATTAACCTAAAACTATAGCTACCATGAATTAGAAGTTCATTCCAAGTCTCTAATTGGATTGCAGGGGATAGATTCTTTTGGTTTTCAGATACGGAATTTGCTAGGGAGACCTTGGCAGGTGTTAACCCATGTAGCATCCAATCGGTCAAGGCAAGAGAAACTACAAATATTTTGATCTCTTCTTCACACTATCATCTGTGCATAATAATTTTTAATTTTTAATTTTTGTTCTATTCATCTTTTTAGGAATGGCCTTTGACAAGTAAGCTGAACACCCAAATCTATGGTCCATCAGAATCAGCAATAACTAGAGAAGTTATCGAGCCACAAATCATCACTTATGGAACAATTGAGAAGGTACCAAAGCATCAATGATACTAAATTTAGACTATGAATTTATTATGCTCGAAATTTGTATAATTTCAATGCATGTAGGCCATTGAAGAAAAGAAGTTGTTCATGCTAGACTACCGTGATTTATTCTTACCATATATAAGCAAAGTGAGAGAGATCAAGGGCACCACACTATATGGATCACGAACACTATTCTTCCTAACTTGTCAAGGCATATTGAAGCCATTAGCTATTGAGCTCACTCGACCACCTATGGATGGCAATCCACAATGGAAACAAGTTTTCACACCCGTTTCTCATTCAACCAATCTCTGGCTTTGGAGGCTTGCAAAAGCTCATGTTTTGGCCCATGATTCTGGTTATCATGAACTTATAAGCCATTGGTGGGTACTTTCATATTATTCTGTTTTGCAATGCCTTAAGATGTGTGGGTCTAGCTTTTAGTTGTAATGGTAAGTTTTTGTGAAGCTTATAGTGATGCTAACTGAGTACATGTAAATTGTCTTTGTAGGTTGAGGACTCATTGTGCTGTAGAACCCTTCATAATTGCAACACATAGACAACTTAGTTCCATGCATCCGATATATAGATTGCTCCATCCACATTTGAGATATACTATGGAGATTAATTCCCTCGCACGTGAAGTGCTTATTAGTGCAAATGGGGTCATTGAAATCTCATTCTTTAGTAGTAAGTATTCAATGGAGTTAAGCTCCATGGCATATGATCAACTGTGGCGGTTTGATTTACAAGCACTTCCAAATGATCTAATTGAAAGGTATATTCAATAAAATCACTTCAACATTTCTTCCTTTCTTAAACCACTTGAAGCATTCACTTCTATTATTTGTTGTGCTTTTAGAGGAATGGCTGCAGCAGATCCTAATGCACCACATGGCCTAAGGCTAACAATTGAAGATTACCCTTTTGCCAATGATGGTCTTCTTATATGGGATGCCATAAAAAATTGGGTAACCGATTATGTTAACCATTACTATCCAAGTCCAAGCCTCATAGAAACTGATCAAGAGCTTCAAGCATGGTGGAGAGAAATTCGAACTGTGGGTCATGGAGACAAAAAAGAAGAATCATGGTGGCCAAATCTTAACACATCAAAAGACCTTATTGACATCATCACCACAATAGCTTGGGTAGCATCTGGTCATCATGCAGCTGTGAACTTTTCCCAATATGCTTATGGAGGCTATTTCCCTAATCGACCCACAATTGCAAGAATCAAAATGCCAACAGAAGACCCTTCTAAAAAGGAATGGGAAATTTTTTTGAACAAACCTGAGCAAATTCTTTTGGAGTGTTTCCCATCACAAATTCAAGCAACCTTAGTAATGGCAACGTTGAACTTATTATCAATTCATGCACCAGATGAAGAGTACATTGGACAATACATGGAGCCATCATGGGCTGAGAATCCAACTATAAAGACAGCCTATGAAAAATTCAATAGAAAATTGAAGGAGATTGAAGGTATTATAGACTTCAGAAATGTAAACACTAATTTGAACAATAGATATGGAGTTGGAATAATGCCTTATGAGCTATTAAAGCCATTTTCTGGCCCTGGCGTCACTGGAAAGGGAGTTCCATACAGCATATCCATTTAAAGTTTGGTAATTTAAGGCTGAATAAGTACAATATCTTTTGTTGTTATGTGCCTCATACAGTCCTCAATACGAAAAAAATAATGGTACAAAGTATTCTATATTTTACATTATATGATCAACAAGAATTGTATATTATGTTACAGAAAAATCCCATATCAAGTTGTTCTTCGTTTAGTAAGGAATAAATTTATACGTACAAGTTTCTTTACAAGAAAAAAAAAAAAAGAGTTTCTTCTCACTTAACTTTGTGAAAATAGTATATTCTTTTGATTTTTCTCCATAATGTTGGCATGAATCAACTGAGTTCGTTATTTAATACATGATTTAACTATAAATTTAGCCTGATATTTAACGCTGGTTTTTGTTTTAGTATAAAAAGTTTATATTTTAATTTCTTTATTAATCAATTACTATCATATTGAAGCTATAATTGTATTAAATTTGATCTACATATTTGATTTTATTTTTTGTTTTAATTCCTATATAAAAAAGTATAATTTTATTTTAATCTCTCAATATAAAAAATTTTATTTTTTAAACCTTATACACGACAATATTTTGTGTCTCGGCCTTTACATTTTAAAAATAATACTCTAAAGGTGTTATACTTTTAGAAATTGGTAGGAATCACTTGATAAAATATTTTTATGTAAGAACTAAAATATATTTTCCTTTTTATATAAGAAATAAAATAAAAAGGTAAATATATAAGGAGTGAAAACAAATATTAAGATAAAACCTTACTGAATTAACCAAACCCCTTTTTAATTCGTTATTGAATTCATAGTCAAGCACGTTTCTTGATCACGGAGAAAGGTATTGGTACAGTGCGTGCAATACATAATAGACTTTTAACTATTCTCCTTCCTTCTTTTATCATTACCATATAGTTTTTGCATTTTGATGTGTAAAACTTTTTCCATTAGTCACTGTCAATATAATCCATTAATTTGAAATTAATTTTCTTTTCAAAATTAAAACTTAATTTACTAATTTAATTCATTCAATTATTTACTAACGAATGATTGTTTAGTTAAGAATATTGCAGTCTTTGCAGTGCTCTGGACGAGTTAATATATAGTTATGAATCAATAGGATCACATTAAACATGAATTTAATGATCATAAGTGTATTTTCTAAGGATCATGAAATCTTGTAATTATTTTTTTATTCGTTTCTTAATAATTTAGAGATTACGGTGTAAAATTTTTATCTTTAGAAGGTATGTATTGGGTCTGTCTAAATTCAATTCAAGAACTTCCGGAAATTTGGACAAATTTTAGATGGGTCACTGATAAAACTATTTGAGAAATGATGTCATATTCAATGATAAATAATAACTGATTTTAATTTAATAGTTGAATTAATAAAATTTAATATTTAAAAAGAGATATTAAATAAAATAATTTTTATCTGAATTATTCCTGCAATAATTTAATCTTCGTCTATATTTAAGTAATAAATATCATTAAATTAAGTAATTAGATGCAATAATTACTTTTATTATTTAAAATAAGGATTATTTGGATAAAAAAATGGTAACCATAAATATTATGCTTCAATTTTAACATTTTAAAATTGTCTTAGTTTAGTCACATCTTTTTGTAATTCATTTTTTCCCAAGCTCCTACTAGATTGCCTTTTCAAGTTTTCAATCCAATATAGAATTTTAATTTATTTATCCTAATTTTTGTATGAACTGGTTGCTCTAATTCTTTCAGGTTTTAATCTAGCGAGTTATTTTTATTTTCTTCTTTTCATTTTTTTTCTTTCTTTCTCCTTTTCTTTAATTGTATTTTTAAAAGACATTTTTAACAATGGTACTATTTAAAAACATTAGAATTCACAAAGTTTAAGAGTTGTAATGTCCCAGCTTTTTGTAATACCGATTATTATTATTATTATTATTATTATTATATATAAATAGATGTTGGAATGTACATTTGAATGCGTGATGAATATTGAATATTAATATGTGTAAATGCATATAGATGCGCATAAATGTAATTGTATATAGTTAGATTGGACTGAAAAACAGGTTAAAGGAGTAATATTGGGGTACTCTTGTTGTAGCGAGAGGATTCTCACTACAGCAAGAGGGCTCTGGGAGGAAGGTGTGAAACTGTCGCCTTGTCACTGTAGTGACAAAGCAATAGTTTGTGGTGCATTTCTGGGTGCAGTCTTGCTGTAGCGAGAATCTGCAGAAAGCAAGGTACATTTTTCTCTGTGTGTGTCGGATGTGATCCAAAGGCAGCATGAGCAAATCAAGATAATCAAAGAGAAATTGAAGGTTGCCCAAGATCGTCAAAAGAGTTACTATGATAAGAGGAGGAAGCCCTTGAAGTTTCAGGTGTGTGACCATGTATTTTTGAAGGTTTCACTTGTGACCAGCGTTGGGAGAGCTCTGAAATCTCGGAAGCTATCTCCTAAGTTCATTAGGCCATTCAAAATGCTAAGTAGGATTGGTCCTACAGCATACCGGATAGCTTTGCCTCTGAATCTCTCGAATTTACATTTGGTATTCCATGTGTCATAACTTGGCAGTATGTGTCAGATCATTCCTATGTGATTGATCTTGACCCGGTTCAAGTAAGAGAAGACTTATCTTATGACATGTATTCGGTAAGGATAGAGGACCACCGTGTTAAACAGCTGAGGAGTAAGGAAATCTCATTAGTGAAGGTGATATGGAACTCAAGTGATGAGGGTGATGCCACATGGAAAACAGAGAGTAGAATGAGAGAACTATATCCGGGATTATTTGTATAACTTGTGTGTTTTTGTTGAATTTCGGGGACAAAATTCCTTAAAGGAGGGAAAAGTTGTAACGTCCTAACTTTTTGTAATACTGATTATTATTATATTATATAAATGGATGTTGGAATGTATACTTGAGTGTGTGATGAATATTGAATGCTAATATATGTAAATGCATATGGATGCACATAAATATAATTGTATATGGTTGGATTGGACTAAAAAATAGGTTAAGGGAGTAATATTGGGGTGCTCTCGCTGTAGCGAGAAGATTCTTACTATAGCGAGAAGGCCTGGGAGGAAGGCATGAAATTGTCGCCTTGCCGCTATAGCTACAAAGCAATAGTTTGTGGTGCATTTCTGGGTGCAGTCTCGTTGTAGAGAGAATCTGCAGAAACTAAAGTGCATTTTTCTCTGATATTTTCGCTGTAGCGATAGGGGGCATCGCTGCAGCGAGAGATGCCTTGCTGCAGCAAGAGATGCCTCGCTGCAGCAAGAGTGTCTCGCTGTAGCGAGAGTGTCACAAGCAGAGGGGTATTTAAAGGGGTTAGGGTTGGAGAAATTCATTTCCCATCTTCCCTCTTCAAAATCTCTCTGATTCCCTCAACCAAAAAACACTTTTCCACCGATTAAATTGCCTCCAAAGCCATTCGTGAGATAGATTGAAGGTTGGATTCGTGTTAGGGACGCTTGGAGGTGAGTTTGAATGTTTCGGTCTCTCACCCCATTCTCTATTCTCTTGGTTTTCCTTGATTATCATGGGATTCTTCCATGTGTTTAGGATGAAATTCATATGGAGAATACTTCCTAAAGCTAAATTTGTGTGTGGGTCTTCAATCCGAAGTAAGAGGAGACTCTACCTTATCCCATTGCATTTTGTTTATCATTATCTTGCTAAATATTGCAATGTGGCTGAGTTAGAGGAAATGAAGTGTGTGATTGATGGAAGTTATTGCGTGTTTGATTTTAATGTAGTTTGATTTTGGGATTAACATACACTTGGATTGAGAATGTAAATGTGAATGTGTTGAAAATGATGTGTAATGGAATATGGGCACTTGTATCGTGTGCTGTAAATAAATGTGGGCAATGTGTGTCATATGCGAATATGAATATTGTGTGTAATTGAAAATGTGTGTGAATAAGCGTGTTGGACGCTGTTGTAATGATGCTATGAATGGTTCAGCGATACACTGGAGGTATAGAAGATGGGGTCGGTAGAAATACCTTAGGGAAGAGAGAGTGGTGATGACACCAACAGTGAGCGTGGGTGCACCACAGGCCATACACTCTCCTCTTGATTAGACCTTTGACCACTACCTTTGTCAAGCGACTCGTGACTACCTATGTGGTATCCGTGAGGTGGGAGTAACCGGCGACCGTTCATGGTGTGAATCTATAATCACAGTGCCAAAGTGAGCGTGGCTGCGTGCGATGAGTGCATACGTGTAAAATGTTTTGGTGTCAAGAGTGCATCGGTCGTGAATTGAAATGAACTGTTGAATCTTGTTGTTTGTAATTATACTTGTGAAAATGTATTATGAATAATGTGAAGTATGTGTGAGGTGAGACTCTATGTTTAACTTTATGTGTGTTAGGTAGTGTAGAGTACTCATCCTTACATTTATTTTTTAAGTGACCAAGACGATCAACATCGGACTCAGTGAAGGATGGATGAAACTGCTATAGAACTTAGGAATTTATTTTGAAAATTTTGATGTACTCATTGAGTCTTGTAGCAATGATTTGATGCAAGTTGTAACTATTCTTATTTTGAAATATTTTAATGAACCATGTATGGGAGAAACTATTTTGAAAGAAATTTTTATTTTCTCCTATTTTTTGAAATTTGATATTTAATGAAATCAAATTTAAGGTGTTACAAGAGGTCTTTCCTGTCTATGTTTGAGAATCAAAGCTCCTCCTAAGAAAGCTTTCTTTACTATATAGGGTCTTTCATAATTTGGAGACCACTTATCATGATGATTTTTCTGTGTTAGTAAAATCTTTTTGAGCATCATGTCTCCCTCACCAAATTCTTTCGAACAAACTTTTTGGTCAAATTCATTCTTCATCCTTCTTTGGTATAGTTGACCATGACATAATACATTCAATCATTTTTCTTTAATGAGATTCAATTGATTAAAATGAGATTGAACTTATTCTGCCTCTTCCAACTTAGTCTCCATTAACACTCTCAATGAAGGAATTTCAACCTTAGCAAGAAGTATTGCATTCATTCC